GCTGAAATTGCGCTTGCTTTCTGCAAGCTGCCGCCGTGTTTGGCACTATAGGTCGGGCGATTGAGATGGGATGCGGTCTTTCTTTGCACCCTACTACTTGGGTTTGCTTCTCGCCGGACGATCCCAACGTAGTTGCTAATTCTGTTGCTAATGTGGTACTTCAGGGCATGGAACTTTTTATTCCTTCCTCTGTAGTGCCCATCATAGGCAGATCTCAGTCATGGTTTAGTCGCTCCTGCAAAATAGCATCACGCTACAAGCGGGAGTGCTACGGGGCCTGGGCTGACACATAAACGTCCCTGGATGTAAACACCAGCGCCCTTAAAAAGAAGTATAATTCCGCGTCCAGGTCATCAAAAAAGTCATTGCCAAGGCAAAGTCAGAGCACATAGGCAGAATTGGCGAGAAACTAGTTCGCCTTCCTTCGGGATCCCGTGCATTCTGGTCTCTTGCCAAGGCTGTCCAAGGGACCTTCCATCTCTGCACAGGGAGGCCGACTCACTGGCCCATGTCGCAAAGGAGAAAGCCGATCTGCTAGGCTCTTTCTTTGCGTCTATGTGTGTTTTCCCCGTCACTCGATTTTCGATGACGGGAGAAACACACCGCCGACTATCCCGCGGTGTGAGTGCTTCATGCCGGATGAGCGGTTCTCACAGTGCTTGGTTCGCAAAGCACTCCTCTCCCTGGACATCAACAAGTCAATTGGGCCTGACGGAATCCCCCAATTGTCCTGAGGACGTGTGCTTCGCAGTTGGCACCGGTTCAAACGCGTCTCATTCTGGTCTACCTGATTCATAGATAGGCGGAGGCAGTAGATTCCAAGGGGGAGGCATTGGCAGTTAGTTTGTACATTGCAAAGGCCTTCGATCGGGTTTGTCACAAAGCACTTCTTTCGAAGCTCCCTTCCTATGGGCTTCCCGAGAAATTATGCAATTGGATCATCCGCCTTCTAGCAGATCGGAGCATAAGGTCATTGTAGACGGTACATGCTCCGACTACAAGCCTATTAATGCTGGTGTTCCACAAGGCGCCGTGCTATCACCACCGCTGTTTTTTCTGAATATCAATGATTAATTGCAAACCGGTAACATTCATTGCTATGCGGATAACAGCACTGGTGATGCTCTATACACCGGCCATGTTAATATTTCTCAGGAAAACATCGCCGAGTACCGGAACAAACTTGTGTCTGAAGTCGAGTCTTTGCTGAACAAAGTTTCGTATTGGGGGCGACTAAATCTAGTCCAGTTTAATCCTCAAAAGACATAAGTTTGCGCGTCTACCCCTAAAAAGAACCCCTTTGTCGTAGGTATTTATTCAGTTTCAAGACACTCCCCTTGTTGCCTCAGTCAGTATCGGAATCCTCGGTGTCAACATTTCGAGTGATGTGCAGTTTCGTGGTCACTTGGAAGAGAAGGTCAAATTTGCCTCTAAAAAGCTTGGCGTGCTCAGCAGAGCGGGACAGTATTTCATGCCGGCACACCACCTGATACCTTACAAGGCGCAGGTTCGGCCTCACATGGAATACTGTTCCCATCTTCGGGCTGGGGCTTCCCAGTGCCAACACCTTTCACTTGACCGCATCTAGCGCAGAGCGGCTCGAATCGTCGACGACCGAGTCCTTTCCGATCGGATTGATTCACTGGCGCTGCGAAGAGATGTTGCATTCCTTTGCATTTTCTTTTGAATTTGCCACGGGAAGTGCTATGAGGAATTTTTCAGATTAATCCCTGCCGCCAAATTCGACACGAACGCACATATCGGCAAAAGTCCCGATACACCATCCACACCATCTGGATGCTTGGCGGTCCACCACTGTACGTTTCACCAGGAGTTTTCTTCCGCGTACGACCTCTTTGTGGAATAGCTTACCACCGGTGGTTTTTCCGGACCGATACGACTTAGGGATCTTCAAGAAAAGAGCTTACTCTTTTTTAAAAGGTCGGCAACGCACCTAAAATTCCCTTGGTGTTGCAGTTGTTCATGGGCGGCGGTAGTCACTTACCATCAGGTGAGTCGTATGCTCGTTTGCCCCCTCTGCTATAAAAAAATGTTGGGCTGTAAATTATTGGGATTTGTGTATTACGCGTTTGTAAAATTTGATTTTTCATGTTGATAGTTGCTTCTAAAATTTTTAATAAATCAGAGTATCCGTCGTATCGTGCGTCAACGTTATAGGTGTAAAATTTATGTTCTAATGAACTCGTAAATGTTTTTAATAATGCTGTTTTTAAATATAACTTCATTATGAATGAATATGAATTCATAAAATTTGAAATTGGAAAAATATATAGCGGCCAAAGCGGGTCTAATAAAACTTCTAGTGCTTCCAGTATCGATCATAAAGCGTGCATTAATTTCGGGAATAAAAATATGAGGTAATTTATTAATTTCGTTACAATTCAAACGTATCATTTCTCGGGATTGTCTTCCGAGGCTACTTTGGAAAAATTTTCGCATTCGTTATTATTACCGCTTTGTTCAACAAAAGGCTGTATGTTTTCAGTGTATAATTCGTCAAAGTTATTATAGTCTTCGATATAAAAAAAGTTTGGTTCGTAGTCGGATTGATAATAACCATCTTGTAAAGTTTCATTTTCATCATTATCGTATGCATATAATAAATTACTATCGCTATGTTTAACAATGTTTTGTCCCAGAGGTCTAGCAGTTCGCATCGAAATGTCACGCAGTTATGAATTTGAGGTGGATTACGTTGTGGTTGAGGTATACCGATTTAAAATTGTTAATTCGCGTTAAAACGGTCGAAATTGTTGATTAAATTGAGGTCTATAACCTTGTGTTCCAAATTTAAAGTTGTTTTGAGGATTTATGTTTGGTTTAAAAGCTTGCTTAAAGGTTTGGTATGCCGAATGTAAAATTGTTTTGTGGATTTAATCCATTTGGTAGCATAAAATTATTTTGATTTATGTTTCCGAACCTAGGATTCATATTATTAAAAGGTTTATAATTATTTTGTGCTCCGTGTGGAATACCGAATTTAAAGTTATGATTCACTGAACTATGAACATTTTTTTGTATTACTGTGTTTTACCTACGTATAAGTAATATCATTGTAGAACATTGTTTTATTAAGTAATCATTTCATTACGATTTCGAAGATTAGATTAAAATGCATTTAATGACTCAATTGCACTATTGAAAAAGATTGTACCTACAATTCGAGCATATATGATAGAAATTATGAAAATTATATACATAGTATATATTTATATATAGAAGAAGAAAAGTATATAGTACATATTCATCATTTCTACGATCCTAGTATTTTTTGAGAAAAGTTCAAAAATGAACAACGGATCAATCTTAATATTAAATCCAGAATCTGGATTTGGACCACTACCTGTAGTCAAGAGTCAAGACTCAATAATCAAATTAGAAAAGTGAAAGATGTACCTGTGTTACAGTACTTGCTGCTTGTGTGAAACCTAAGATCACACAAGCATATAATATTATAATTATAAATCTGGGGTTAAATTTAAATGTCAATCGATGTCCGCAAGTTATAATTATGTAAGTACATACTGTTTTTAACTCTCACGTTTTATTATGCATTTCGTATGAATATTATTTAGAGACGGATAAGTTATAATATGATCCTGTTAAGCAGAGGTTTCCAAAATAGGGGGTTGGGCAGTTACCCGAAAAAAGAAGAGCGTAACACAACACACATTCGCATTGCTTTCCCAGTTTAAATGGTTTGTGGATATCTCATATGCGTACAGGTATGTATGAGACGTTCCTCTTTTTTTATTTTTATATAATTTTATATTTTAGTTTAACTACAATATTAAAGACTGTGATAATAAAAAAAAAAACTAAAACTAGAAACTTAATTATCATATAGTCCGACTCCCCGCGGTATCGTGCCAAGAACGCTGGCTGCGTTTCCCCACTGAATGGCTATACTTAGCCTTTGAGCGAGGAAAGAACCAGCCCTCTTATCACCAGCAGCAACGACCAGCCGCGGATGGAGTTCCTTTAGGAACTTCACCGCACGTGAACCCCACGGACCGATAGTCTCTACAGCAAATGGCACAAATATGTAGTCATCTCTCAGAGACTCATATTTGCGCCACTTACCCAGTTCAGCTGCCTCTGATGCCGCCCCGGCTTTAAACGAGGTACCCCTGAGATGAGAGGCCGCCAGAGTGTCTACGCAAGTAGCATCCCACACTAGGGCTTTACCTCTCTCCCAAGGGACCAATGTCATACCGTCGGGTCTCTTGCCGTCGTCTCTAAATATTCCACAAGGCTCTAAAACCGAGGGAACATTTATAGAGGCAAGAGCCCTTCGGATGACATCGTTCAAAGAACTGTGTCGTGAAAACCTACCAGCGCTTTTCTTACATGAAAGTCCGTGGAGCCCAAACCTGTCGACGCTGCTACCACAGGGGCACTGATGGGGTTGACTAATCGCCGCTCCTAGTCGGATTCCTACGGCAATACGCAAGCTTTCCCTATCAAGTAATGTGCCGAGATTACTTGATGGTAAAGCGTGTAACCAGTGACTAGATTCCTTAGTCGAAACAGCTAGAAGGCGTGCCTTATCTTGGTCACTATGGAAATTATGAAACAAATCCTTCTGCACGCCCTGTACCAACGGAATATCCTCTTTTTCGCCATATGGCAACGGGTGCAATGCGATGCGACGTGGTTCCTTTAACCCTTACTCGATTAAGGGAAGACCTACGAAGTACTGTTGTTGAAATACGTAGAGGATAACGCGTTATAACAGAAGGAACATTGCTGGTCCCGTCACTTTGCTCTCATAATCTCATAAAAACACCAGTACCACAGAATAAATCATAGTATTAAGTCTCTAAAGTGTGTAGGTAAATGAAATTTTGCCGCAAATATGTTATGTACAACTTTGGCAATACCTGCTGTAGTGTGTACGTGAGAGGATATCGGATAATGAATATAAAGACAAATTTTTGGAAGATATAATATATTAATCATTTGTACTATTCAGAATATCACCACCAGCCCGAGGAGCCACCGCCAGACCAGCCACCTCCACCACCGCTTTTCCAGCCGCCTCCACCGCCACCGCTGGACCAGCCACTGCTTCCCCCACCGAGCTTCCAGCCGCCGCCGCCGCCTCCTCCGCCCAGCTTCCATCCACCTCCGCCTCCGCCGCTTGACCAGCCGCTACTTCCTCCTCCAAGTTTCCAGCCACCACCTCCTCCGCTATAGCCGCCGCCGCCAAAGCCGCCTCCGCCTGTAGCATTTATTGGACATTAAAAATATTTAAAGAGGAATAATATATAATACGCTTGGGCTCCTTTTGTCGATATCCTTCCACCTACTTACCACCTACTTACCAATTTTTGTCGTCAAGCAGAATGGCCGTGTTCCAGTTTAATTTAAAGGGTTTTAATTTTACACATTGGTAATGGAAAGCAGCATTAACAGTGCGAGGATGTCTTCTGCTCTAATCGATCCGACTTTACAGTGTGGTTTGGACAAATCTGTGAGCGGCGTTTAGCGATGCCTTAAAAATACCAACTTTCAGCAGTGGTCATCTTGTAAAGTCAAGTTGCTAAAATTATTTATTTTTTATCATAATGTTGAGCTGAATCAATAAGCTTATAAACCATTTGTATATTTTATTATATCTGTTTATAAAAGGAACGAGATATTGCTGCATTATAGGAAACCTTAGAACGAAAGGATAAAAACTAAATATCCAAACGAGCAATAATCGTAACTGTATTTTACAAATATCTGAAGAAAATGTGGTGCAATGTAACATGTAACAACGGGTATTGCATAATTTGTTATTCTCTGCGAACTGATGAGTGAACGGATGACCCTAAGCCGAGATCTTTTGACCTCTCTAATGTACCAGTCGATTCATGACTAAAATAATTATTTCCGATGTTGTAATTCCATATAAATAATACTATGTAGTGGGTATATAAGAAGAAGAAGTTGTCTCGGCGGAGAATAAAATTAATATTAATCTTTAAAAAGAGTTGAGGTATTTAAACAAGCCTTGGATCATAAATAACTGCTGAAGATTCCTGTATTACAAGTTACGACTTAAACTTATGTTCGACTGGGAAATTATTTGTAAACCGTAAAGTACCTATCGTTTAGGAGGATGTTTGTAATTGTGAATATTATTTAGAGTTAAAAAGTTGTTAATGTTAATTGAATAGGTACCTAGATAAAATTTTGGTTAAAATATATTTATATTATTTCATAACAAGTGGGATGCGGGAAGTAAAGACTGTAAGAACCTCCGAAGGAGTCGGAGTTATAGCCGAAATAAGAATTTTTAAATTTTTGGTTTTTGGCCATTTTGACCCCCTAGGATTGTAATGAGAACTTTTTTCCCCTATTCAACAATGACACCCATGACATCCTCGACATGTTAGGCTATTCAAACTGACTAGGCCTAAAGTTCGAGTCATTGCCAACTCATTTCTAGTCTTTACTTCCAACTATAATACATTATTTATAAAATTTTGTGTATCTGTAATTAGAACTTTACGTGAATTTAATTATATTCATTGATGTCTTACTTCTTTAATTCTACAATTTTATTTTTAAACTTGCTGTTAACCACCGGCTTCTTTGTGCGTAAATTAAAATTTATTAATATCTATTATAAAAATATCCTACGTCTATCCTACGACGAATTTTATTAGAATCCGTCCAGCCGTTCAAGCGTTATTAACGACTAAGTTTAAGTCTAAATATACATACTTTTACACCTAAAGAAGGAGTGAGTTAATTTATTTATCTAAAGAGCAATTTCTAAACTTCTTTAAATTATTAAAAGCTATACTTTTCTAGGTAGTAATAGATTGTGTTTTAATTTACGTACTTATTTTAAAACTTAACAATGTATTAAAATATCAAGAAGCAAATAACTAACAAAACGTTAAAGTTAGAACCTAAATAGGTACCACTGCTCGGAAGAAGTCTTTACTTATTTCTGAGAAGTTTATGGAATAGACAGATCGCCGCGCTGCTCCGGTGTTGTGTGGCGTGTTGGCGAATTTTACATATCCTCGAATTATGTTTTATTCCTTAGACACGCAGACTTTCTCATGATTTACTTATCATTTAAATTTGCAATAAAACATTTCAATGGTACCGGCGGGGATCTAATTCGGTTGCTCGTGTAATATGAAAATTACAACGAGCACTTGGCTACCATGGTCCTAGTTCTGTTAGTTAATTTTAACTGGTAATGGAACCATATATCATGCCATCCCCTTTTTTGTATCATTGGATATAATATGTAGTTAAAAATGTATAAAACTATTACCATAACCGCCGCCGCCTCCGCCGGTTGTAATTATTTTGATGATCTTCACTTCTGTTAAATAAAAAATAAATGTTCGGTAAATAAGGTAACATTATACACAGAGGCTCACAAATATCGCGCTCATTACGTAGGTACCTCATAAAAACAGAAAAACAAGTGAGAACTGGCTTGGCTTATCCTGTAGGCTAAATAGTCTTAAGCTCTCAAGCAAGAGGGCGCGGTGCCACCGTGTTTTTTTTTTTTATAGAATAAGGCTGACAAACGAGCACACAGTCCACCTGATGGTAAGTGGTTACTGTGGCCCATAGACGTCTACATCTATCTTCGTTTGGGAATTAAAATGCAAATGCGTTGTCAGCCGTGAGGACTAAGATAGAATGCCTCTTTTCCAGTAAAAAGGGTCTCCGGTTCTTTACATTCACCATACGAAACACAGCAGCATTAAGCTGCTATTTCACGCTGGTATTCTGTGAGAGCGTGGTCCTTCCCCGGTCGAGCCGACCCATTCGTGCTACAACTATACTACTAATATAGCTGCAGCATGGCTCTACCACGTACAAATTTGTCTGATATACAGGTTTCTATATCAGGGAAAATGTTTTGCTTTACCGTCGAGCACATGGTAAATCAGCTCTTAAAATTGCAATTAGCAATTTCATTGGTGCCGACTGGATAAAATCCCGAGTTGCCGGCGTAAAGTGAATTTTATAGCGAGCGCTTAGCCCCGTAAAGCTCACACTTTAAAAAATATAAGTTGATATTTTAAATAATAATAAAATATAAGTTAATAAATTGGCTTTATAAAACATGTAAAATTACGGTTATTTGTAATTTTATAAAGTTAGTCATAGTAACTTACGTCCGCCGCCGCCGTGGCCGCCGCCGCCGAAGCCGCCGCCGCCGCCGTGGCCACCGCCGCCGAAGCCGCCGCCGCCGTAGCCACCTCCGTAGCCACCACCGCCCCCGGACCAGCCGCCACCTCCTCCGCTCGACCAACCACTACTACCACCGCCGATATAGCCGGCTTTGGTGACCACCGCAAGGGCCAACAAGCATACAAATACCTGCACAACAAAGTAAAAAATTATATCGAATCGAACAATGACTATAAATGAAAACGATCGTAAACATGCCAGTTCTATGGCAATTTCTAGTTGCAAATGTATAGCCATCATGTTATTATATCGCTGACAATGTTGTTGAGCTATAGTGCGCTGAAGTTGCAATTTTTAAGGCCTGTTTACGAGCTCCTAGGACGTAAATAATTAGACATAAGTGTTCATAAAAATTAATATGCTGTTTATTTTTATATATTACCACCTTGTGATGAATTTATGTAGGTAACAACTTCGGTTAAATATGAAAATATATAGCAGATAATCACAAATCTCTTAAAAAAATCGTTGTGTCGTGAGAAAATTTATGGAGATAATGGGAACGATGTGATGAAACTCGATAATGCGCAAGTTCCACAATTTGTTTTGAAATGCAGCTTTAGAACGGGTGAGAAATGATATATTATGCAACATTGTAAGAATAACGTATCTGATATAGACTATGTGTTATTATTAAGTATATAGTACTGTTACCTTCATGTTGAAGCTGATCGGTAACTGCTTGCAGAGGGATCGGCGATCGCGGATTATATACAAACACTGCATCTCCCACTCGCTGCTGCCCGAGCCTCGAGGGCCGCGAAGAAGCGAACGGAAGCTGTTCCGCGGCCGCAGTGACGCAAGCCATTGTCCCTGTGCTTACTGTGATTAAACCACATTCGTAATTACAAGAATAGGATCAAAGGTAACGACTTGCAAAAGTATTATGCGCCTAATATAAAATCTATTTAGCATTTAGCAATATTTTTATTATTTTGAAGCTATTAATGCCGCTTTTATCAAAGATTTGAATAGAAGTTCCGAAGTGATTACGGTAATTTAAACAATTTTTTTCTAATAAAATAATAAAAAAGCAAATATGGAATAGTGTTATAGTTCATTTGTATAAAAATATAGGAATAGTGTATTTGCATTTTTCGTTATATACATGAGATTTATCCTTTATGCTTCCTTTTGTTATTTTTTTAATACCCTAGGAATTTCCCTGTATTGTGAAGGCGTTTTAGATTTTTATTTACGTGGTAGAGTCAGGCTGCACCTATATTACTGGTATAGTTGTCTTGTCTCACAGAATACCAGCGTAAAATAGCAGCTTAACGTTGCTGTCTTTCGTATGGTAAGTGTAGAGAACCGTATGTGTTTACTGGAAACGAGGCATTCCATCTTAGTTCTCAAGGGTGATAACACATTTGCATTTTGGTTCGTAATCGAAGATAGATGTAGATGTCTATGGGCCACAGCAATCACTTACCATCAGGTAGACTGAGTACTCGTTTATTACCGTTATCCTATAAATTTTTTTTACAGATTTCGCATGAACACATATCTAAATCCAAATTCGGAACTAATACTGCTCAGCGACGTAGCCGAACTTTTGCCACTGCGCTACCGAGCTCATAATTTATATATTTTAGTTTTTGCTTTTATTATAATCCCTAAGATTATTAGAACCTTTTTAATTTAGTTACAGTATTGTTTTTAAGATCGAGCACGTAGTATACCAATGTCATAATAACCAAAAAAAGTATCCAGAAATTTAAAGACTTTTTGTTACAAAATAATGGAATAACATCAACATCACAAATAGCTTAGAGTACACATAAGCATAGTTTGCTTATGTTTACTATATTCTATACGTTTATTTATTTATATGTATATAGAGATTGATTATATAACGCCTCTAAGCCTGTAATGACATACATATTCACTTAGAAAGCATTTTGGAAAATTCAAAGATTCAAAGATTGTGAAATAGTGTGTTACAGTTTGTATTTGAAACTTTTTTATATTACAGGGTTACTTTTTATGTACAATAAAATAAATGAATAAGGGTTTAGCGATTTTTCAAAACAACCCCTTATTAAAGCTAGAGGATGTTCAAGCTTGTAAGGAAAAAAAATAATTAAAGTTTTTTTTTTAAATTTAAAAACGGGTTCACTTGAATAAAAATGACGAAATATTCATTGTTTATTTTTTCGAAATACCCTTAAGGTTTTTAAAAAGGGGTCAAAGTTTTTATGAAAAATATTGTATTAAGACGCGTATCCTAAATCGCTGGGCGTTGAAGCGTGAAATTGGGACATTAGCTTTCATTTATTACGTAGGCAATCACTAAGAAAAGATTTTGGAAAATTAAAAACCCTAAGAGATAGAAATACGATGTTACAGTATGAAGGAACAAAGTTCCTTATCGCACGGTACGTACCTATTTGACGGATGGGGATTAAGTTTAAGATTAAGGATTAAGCGAGAAAAAGTGTAAAATATTTTCGTCACGAACCCCTTTGTATAGTGCGAGCGAGATGGAATAATATCCATCTCCCTCGCACTTTTTCTTACCTTGCCATGAAAGAAATATTATCTTAAGTTTTTCTGGAAAAACTCATTCAAAAGGCTAATATGAACTTATAGGGTTGTATTGGTGATTTTAATGATAATAATTCTGTAAACACATAATCGCTACGGTCGCGAAAAATTTTTGTTAAATATACAACCTAACCCTGACCTGCAAATTCCAAAAAACGCAAGAAAATTTGAATTTCGCAGGTCACCCTGGAGCTTCCACCTTAAATGACTCATTTTAATAGACACTAGTAATTCATTTATTTGTATTTATTAATCAATAATATAATACGTTTACCAATAATAATTTACTACGAAAGGAACTTCGTTCCAACCGAGTGTTTTTATTTTTATAGAATAAGGGTGACAAACGAACACACAGTCCACCTGATGGTAAGTGGTTGCTGTGGCCCATAGACATCTAGGTACATCTATCTTCGTTTGCGAATTAAAATACAGATGGCTTGTCAGCCGTGAGGACTAAGATAGAAGGCCTCTTTTCCAGTAAAAGGGGTCTCCGGTTCTCTACACAACACAGCAGTGTTCCACAACACTCACGCATTTTTTTATTTTACGGGTAGATTCGACTCGAATTATTGAAAGTACTTTATAAATAAAAAGAATGAAACCGTATTTTACGATTTTTCAAAACAATATATTTTTGACAGTTCTACTACTAAACGGGTAAAATTAGGAATGAAAGATTGTTCGAAATTTTGTCATCTTTTAATTAGGTTTCGTGTAGTTTTAATTAAATCTTTGATAATATTATTATAAGTTTTTGATTGTAATTTCACGTATTTACGGAATTTTGAATATTCCACCCATGACGAGATAAGTTACTGTTATAAAATTGTAAATTATTTTGATGTGGTTTTCAATCAATCTGTTGATCAATATATTTTTATTGTACACCAATAAAAAACAATAAAAACCAAAATAACAAAATAAACATTAAAACACAAGCACTATAACAATTACGATAAGGTAAAAAATATGTAAATATATGTAGATAGTTTTGTTCAATATGGTTAATTTTATTTGTTTATATAATTTGTTAATTTTTATATTGTTTAATTAACAGTTAAAATTTATATTTATCATATTTAAAGCACCGCACAAAGAGAAGACCGAGATAATAGCAATGCTATTAACATTACCAATATTCTCTTTAACCACTACTGCCTCGTTTGGAGAAACATAAAACGATTTTGTGGTTCTCTCAATGACAGGTAAATACGTAAACCCGACCCCTTACTCTGGCTAGACAACTTCTGTAGCAGTTTGTATCCTCGTCTGTTCTTTCCATAGAGGAGACATTCCCAGTGGCTTTCCCACCTTTCCATCTTTCACACGATTCTTATGAAACTTTGAATGATACCTTCTAAACCACAGAGCTTCAGTTGGTGTTAAGCCATCTAAAGGACTTCTCTCCGAGCATTGACAGGATACAGGGTTCGCTATCCTTTTTAGACATAATTGTGTATATTCAATAGGGGCAGTTTCTGATGACTGGAAAACCCATATCATAATCCCTATTCTTAAAATCTGGGAAATTTCATTCATTCATCATAGATAATGGATTTCCTAAAAAAAATCGCCTAGAGTGGTTACTATTAATAGGGAAATCTTGCCTAATAGCCAGTTTAGATTTAGGAAGGGTTTGTACCTCTGACAGCCATAATAAATAAGACAAAATGTATTAAATTTACAATACCTAATGTTAAGCATTCAAATACCTAATGTGCTCTTAAATAGGGAGGAGTTGAGTCTTGTGGATACCACTGTATTTCTTGGTATTACTATTGACGCGAAACTTCAACGGGGCCCCCATATATCTAAATTAGCAAGCAGACTTAGTTCTGCAGCATATGCTGTAAGAAAGATAAGAAGTCTCACTAATGTTGAGACAGCTAGATTAGTTTATCTTAGTTACACTCATAGCGTGATGTCTTATGGAATTTTGCTGTGGTGTAATGCGACTGACATTGAAGCCATATTTGTTTTGCAAAAGATAGCCATACAGGGATAAGATGCATCAACTCAACATTTCAGTGAGGATAACTAACTTTGTGTTAAACCTTTTTTAGGAAGACATATTCTAGTGCGAGTAGAGGGTAATTTCATGCCAGCAGGATATATCTGGAAAGGTCTTCCTCAAGGCTCTGTTCTATGTCCCCTTCTGTATTACCTATATACCCATGATCTAGATGGATCCGTAAACGGTCTGTCCAACATACTTCAATATGCTGACTTGGTTCTCTTTGTGACTGACCATTCTCTACCTGACGCCCCTTCTCGATTATCCCGTGCGGTATACTACCTGCAAGAATAGCTTATAATACATGGTTTATCCATCTCTACCCCAAAAAGTAAAATCGTGGTATTTTCTACCGCGATATATATTTGGCGACATAAAGATATGCCATACCTTTTAAAAAGCAAGTCAAGTTAAGTAAATATTCAAACCCCAATTTTTCAAAAAGATTTTATTTACTTTGTTGTCCCTTCAATGATTGTCCTGACATTGGCAGAATTATATTAAAAGAAGCCATAAAGAAGAAGATGAATATATAGTATATACAGGTTATGCTGCTGTCATTAACCTGGAATTAGTGTTATTGAGACCCAATGTTCGGATGATTTTAACGCCATATATATATATATATATATATATATATATATATATATTTTACTAGATACATAAGACACCATAAATGTTGTAATCTGTTGCTGTAATATGATTATACGATAGGATTATAGTGCCCGAGTGTCTTTCCCTTTTAGTTATTCCCTTTACTCTTTCTGTTCGATAGAATGATAATCCGACACGACCGGAGAGAGATCACACGCAGGACCATCGGCTTCACGTGATGTGTAAGATGAATCTGGATGTCACTTTATGTTACGAAATAATTCTCAAGCATAATGATTTCTTATATTTACGCGAACTCTACTCATTGAATAAAACTACTTTTGAGGATTCTATCGCGTTTAATTAACTTGTTTTTTTATTGATTCCCGATGTTTCGGGTACTTTACAGCACCCATGGTCACGGGGACTGAAGTGATTGATGTCAGAGTTAACCCGAAGTACCTTCAGCTTTTTAATTATTAATTATGGTCCGAACTTACACTGTCTTGAAATCTTGCAGTGGTATGCTTGGGTTTAGTTTTAATTTTATTAATTACAGGATCCCAAGCAGGTGGTAGTACCCAGCCTCCCACTCTATTGAAATTAGGATGTTTTTTAATTTCAAGAGACTCACGTATCAGCCTTGGCAG